CAGGTGGCGCTGGGGGAAGTCAAGAGGGCCAACGACGAGCTGCGCGCAGCGGCCGAGGCCAAGAGCATCTTCCTAGCCACCACCTCACACGGTACGTTGCGGCGCAATCGTACACGATGCCAACTGTACTCACTGCCTGCTACCACTACAGAGCTGCGCACTCCGTTGCATGGGATCCTGGCCCTGTGCGACTCGCTGATCGAGCGGATGCCTCCGCGCCAGGCCGGCCGCAAGACGGTCAAAACGATCTCCCAGTGCGGGCGACATCTCCTCGGACTGCTCAACAACATCCTCGACTTTGAGAAGGCCTGCTCCGACACCTTCAGCATCGAATGTATTCCGTTCTCCATCGCCCGCGAGGCCGAAAAGGTGCGAAAGCAGCGCTGTGCACCGTCCGTCGTCACAAGACGCAATCATTTGAATTCATAATGATGAATGGCCCACCAGGTCTGCGCTACGTTTGCGGCGATGATGAAGGGCAAGCAGATCACGCTGGAGAAGTACTTCAACCCACAAGCGAGCCACTACATGGGCGACCCTCTCCGCTTTCGCCAGGTACGACAACCTACGGAGTGCGGTTCTTGTGATCACACGCGAATTGAGAGATGGGCTGCGTGTGGCGCAGATCGTGTGCAACCTGGTTTCGAACGCCTGCAAGTTTACGCCGAGCGGGGGAACCATTCGAGTGTCCATCACGAGCCAGCCCACGGGTGCGATTCGCGTCGAAGTAGCAGACACAGGCATCGGCATCGCCCCGCCCGAACAAGCCCGTCTCTTCCAGGTTAGTCATGCGCTCCTCTTCGTTCTTTGTTCGTCGCTTTCATTGTTCTTCTTGTCGGCTCCGCATGCCGAGTCAGTTGACTCCGCTTGCGCCACAGAACTACGTCCAGGGCGACAACTCAATAACCCGCCTGTATGGGGGCACGGGGCTCGGGTTGGCGATTTCGAAGCGGCTCGTGGAGGCCATGGGCGGTCAGATCGGGTGCCACTCGGCGGAGGGCAAGGGCTCCACCTTCTGGTTCGTTCTCCCGCTGCCGCTCGCCCCCGACGACTACTCGGCGGACAGCACCAGCGGCGACGAACTCGACCTTGCGGCAGTGAGCGACGTCGAAGACGAAACCGATCAAGATAACGAAGACGGCGAGATCAAGAAGAACGAATACGATCGACAACGAAAAAGAACGAAGAACGAAGCCCAGCCCTCGACGACAGGCGAAGTTGCCGGCCCGGAGGATTGTTTGAAGGGCAAGCGGGTCCTGGTGGTGGACGACAACCCGGTCAACCGGAAGGTGTGCGTGGCCCTGCTCCGTCGGTTTGGGTGTGTGACCAGGGTGGTGGCCGACGGGCAGATGTGCCTGGACACCCTCGAAGACGACCACTTCGACGCCATTCTCATGGACTTCCTCATGCCCGTGCTTGGTACGCACGACACGCACGACACGCACGGAACACGACACTAGACGCAACCTAACATTCTTGGCGTGGCAGATGGCCTTCAGGCGACCACAAGAATACGGCAGGACGAAGCGAAGCACGGGTGCAGACCGGTACCGATCATCGGGCTCACGGCGACGGCCACGGAGGAGGCTAAGGCGCGGGCGCACGAGGCTGGTATGAACGACGTGCTCACGAAACCGTTCGACCACGATCAACTGGCAGCCGCACTCTCTCGGTGGGTCGTGGCACGATCGGAATAGGAAATGTACCAAGGGTAAAGAAAGCAATAGAGCTTCAAAGTTGAAGAGGTACTGGAAAGGAACCGCTTTGGTCGCGGGTGCGGCCTTTGTGTTGCCGCAGTGCGACAATAAAATAAGAGTTTTGTCCTCAGCTACGACACTCAAGTTTGTTGGGTGCACAATGAGTTCAGCATACTCGCAGTGAGGCTTCTTTATTCATCTTTGATGAGGAGTATTTGTACAGAATGGTCCCCAACTTGCTACTTACTACTTATCTTCTTTATCTCCTCTTCTCTTTCATCCAACCTATTGCCCATTGTGCAAGAACAGCACAGAACATATGCAACCTTAGCCTTGTGGTGGCCTTCTTGTTGGCCTGTTGTCAAATCTGGGCAATGGCTGTATGTTGTCACATCCAGCTTGTTGCCTTAACCCTTCTCCATGCTGATGGAGTAGATGAGGTATACAATGCTACATGATGCAAACAGATGAGAAAGAGAAAAAGATAGTTAAAACAGCCCCAGAAAGATGTCTATTTATTTCTTTTAGAAAAAATACAAATAGTTAAAACAAAGAACAAAGGTTTGTGGCAACATTCCAACGACGAGGACGTAACTCATTTACTCTTGAGTAACCAGTGCCACGGCTCCTTCTTTGAGAGCTGCCGTTCCTTGTGCAAGAAGTCGAGTGGCACAAATCGATTGATCACCTCCTGCACGCCTGCAGTTTCTTCTCCTTGCTGCTGCCCTGAGGCGCTTCAGTCGTCTTCGCATCTCCTGCTTTCCCACCGGCGCCCGCATGTACGGCTTGTCTTCGCCCCATCTTTCTTCTGCTCCTCACGGCCTTTTTCTCTTCAGGTTTGCTTCTTTTGGGGACGCGCATCTCGCCACGAGCGGCGATGGCCATGCAGGAACCACAACTTCGACCACCACAGCAGCGGAGCGCAAGGAGGACTGGAAGTGCGTTGCGTGCGACGACCACCAATTCGCACGCAACACGCACTGCCGACGATGCGGCCGAGCCCGGCCGACCGTTGCCGCCACGCGCGCCTATCTCGCCAGGCGCAAGGCCGCCGAACAGCACCAGCCGCTGCGCGACTGGGCGTGCGTGTCGTGCGACGACATCCAAACCGCACGCAACGCGCGGTGTCGACGCTGCGGCGCTGCCAAGCCCTCGGCCGACGTCGAGCAGCGCTACATGGCCCAGAAGCGCGCCCAGGCCGAGGCCACGGTGCTCGACGCCCAGCGGCGCAAGGAGGAGGCCGCGGCCCGCCGGCGGCGCGAAGCCGAGGCCTTTGCCGCGCACCTGCGGCGGCTCTCGGCGCCCGGCTGGGCCGAGCTGCGGCTGCTCTTCGTCGGCGCCCACGACGAGGCCAGCCCGCTATCGTGGCTGCCCATGGAGATGGTGGTGGCCATCGCCCGGTGGTCCCTGGCCGTGCCCGAGTGCTGGGCCTCGACCAGGCTGGCCTGGTTCAAGGCCACAGCCAGGGCCGACCCGGCGGGCAAGGCCACCGCGACACTCAGCAGCGGCCACGAGCTCGAGTACGACAAGACGGCGGCGCCGAACAAAAAGTTCACCGTCTACTACTGGCGGGAGGAGGAGCGGCGCACGAGGGACGTGCAGGAACACTGGAGCGAGGGCATGTTCCTCGCCAAAGCCAGCTACGACCCACACTGGCATGCATGGGTCGAGTCTGGAATGTCTGTTACACCTGGCCACGACGGGCTATGAACATAACATGTGTTACATACACATCATGCTTATAAAACACAACACTACGGTCACCCGCGCTTGGTTTTGGCGTTGGGGATCTGGCACTTGCGGTTCTTGGGGCAGTAGCAGCAGGCCCAAGTGGGCTTGTGGTTGGGCATGTAGTTCACCACTGTGTGGCCCTTGTGGCACTCCTTGGCGCAAGCCTCGCACACCTGCTCAATCGCACGCATGAGAAGAGCACACCAACAACGCACAAAGCTTGCACTACACGACCGCACACGACCGCACACGAGGCAAAGCGAGACATACCCAGGTGATCTTGCAGTCCTTGCACACGAAGTAGTTCTCCACTTGGTTGCCGCCCTTTTGGAAGCGGAGGGTGAAGCACTCGTGCGTATCGCCCTGCATCTTGATCTGCCCTCTGAGCTCAACGTCGCAACCTTTTGCGTTGCATGTGTGCCGTGAGTTTCATGCGCATGTGCGTGCGTGTGGTGCGTGTAGTGTGTGTGTGTTTGTGGTGTGTGTGCTTGTGCGTGTGTGTGTGTGTGTGTGTGTGTGCGCGCGCGCGCGCGAGAGGGAGGGAAGGATACCGGGTGGGGCGTCGTATTGGAGCAGCGGCTTGTTGCGGTCCTTTAGGACGATCTCTTCGCCCAGCGGGGTGCGCAGTACAAAGCAGGCGTCGGGCGACAGGTCCAGCATGGGCGTGCCCATGGCCTTGAGCCTCTCCTCCAGCAAATTGAACTGTTGACGCAACACACACGACACACACACGACACACACATGGCACACACACGGCACACATGGCACACATGACACGACACGCACACGGAGAGAACGTGAGTTTGGTAACCAAGTGTGGAATAGCAGCATCGAGAGTGGTGGCGTTACGAGTTCGTTGGGCGCGTCGGTGGGGCGAAGCTGGATGCGCTCCCATCGGATGCCCCGCGAGGGCACCAGGACATTGACCGACAGACCGGCCAGCCGCGGCTCCACGGCACGCTCCTTCAGGAAGCCGTCGTACGCCTGCTCAGAGAGCGTCAGCACCTTGACACCACACAACACACAACACACAACACACAACACAGACACACCTTGACGAGACTGCCTACGCAGTCGTCGAGGCTCTGGCGGAGCACGCTGATCTTCTCTTCGCATTCTTCGGTGAGTCCGCGGAGCGCGCGCTCCCTCTCGGCCTTGGCCTTGTCGGTTCCCTTCCCGTACACCGCCTCGATCTCCTTCTCGCTATCTGTAAAACATTGGTCAGTGCGCGTCGTGCGTGTGCGATTGCGTGTGTGCGGTGCGCGCGTTGTGTACCCAAACACTGTGCGGCAAACTTGGAGCGCACGCTCGCCTGCGCCTTCTCAAACTTGGCTTTGAGCTCCTGTGTAGCAGGCAATGCAGGTGGTAATGAGAAGCGTCGAAAACTCAACGCGGCTGGGGGTGGTGGTGGGTAACCTGGTAGTAGAGCTCGTAGGAGGCCAAGCTCCGCTGCATGTGCTTTTGAAAGACCTCCTCCACCGGCGACAACTCCCCCATCGCCGCCGCTCGCTCTCGCGAAGAACGTAGCACGTCCGATTGTTGGCCTGCGCGTGCGGTCGTGCTGTGTGTGCGTGCGTGCGTGCGTGCGTGCGTGCGTGCATGTGCGTGTGCGGGTGCGGGTGCGTGTGCGTGTGCGTGTGCGCGTGCGCGTGCGCGTGATGAGATGTGGCAGAGCAAGAGTGACGGGCGAGGCGGACGGGGTTGTTACCAGCGCTGGCTGAACCCGAGACCAGCTTCGAGAAATACTTCTTGGCGGCCTCCTCCTTCTCCTGCTGTACAATGGCGAGCATTTTGTCGAACCAGTGGTTGCGCACCAGCTGCGCTTTGGTGGCATCGGCGTTACAGCACGGGCACACGTGCTTCCTGTTCACACACTCCATAATACAGCCCTCGCAGAAGTGGTGCTGTACGAGGCCATTAAGATTTAAGTAAAAATCAATCATAATAATAATGCTCCCTATTCAATTATTTTATTTTATTTTAATTTATTTTATTTTATTTGAAGAAAAGATTGGGTGAAGGAGGGGGCGTACGCCGCAAGGGGTCATGTAGCAGTTCTGGATGGGGCTGAAGCAGATGGGACACAAGAACTCATCATACACCGCCTTCAACTGGAAAAATGAGGAGTAAGGGACCGATGTGAGATTTTACGTTCATTCAAATCCCAGCCCCTTACCGCCCCCCACGGACGCCTACCGGAATGGTGAGATCGAGCTCCTGCACATCCTCCTCTTCCAACATCTTGTGTCTCTGTTTACTTTGGATTGTGTGGCTGTGTTTTTGATTTTGGTCTCTTTTGCTGGGTTTCACCGAAGCCTTCCCGACACCGTCGTTTCATGGAAGGCAACTCAGCCCTCCCTGTGTGTCGTGTCGTGTCGTGTGCCGTGTGTGCCGTGTGTCGTGCGTCGTGTGCGGTCTTGCTGCGTGTTGTGTACAATAACAAACGGCCAAGGCCAGGTTTATCGTCTCCACTGGGTGATGATGTCGTTGAATACAATGAAGGCGAAGGCCGGTGGCGGTGAACATGGATGGACGTCAAGGAGATGATGACGATAGCGCGTAGGATCGAGTATCGATGGCATGCATGGTTTGCCACACCTTCTTCTTCTTCTTCTTCTTCTCAAGAAGACGACGATGACGCCGATGACTCCTGCTCGCGCGCGTGCATGTAGTCCTCGAGCTGCTGATCGAGGTAGCTCTTGGCTGACTCAGGCGTCTGCAGCATGTACGAATCCAGCTCGGCGTCGAGCACGTCCTTCGAAGCGGGCTTCGCCGCCGCCGCCCTGCCGCCTCTCGCTCCGCCTCGGCCGGCGCCGCCGCCACGCACCGCTGCTCCGCCTCGTCCGCCTCGCGCGCCGACGGCCGTCACCGGCGCTCTGCGCTGGTTGTTGCCCGGCGCTGCCACGCCGGCGCCGCGACTGGCACGGCCTCCGCGAGCGTTGACGATTCTCTGACTGTTGCTGTTGTTGTTGCCCCTCGTCGCGGGCGGCAGGGCTGCGACGACGCGACCGCCTCGAGTGACGGTGGATCGGCCACCGCGAGGAGCGGATCTCGTTGTGACGGTTTGCTGCTGGTGCTGCACCATTACGGCGCGCTGCTGTCTGGATGAAGGCTGCGGGGGCGGGATGCCCTTGATGACGAAGGCGGGCTCGCGCGGCTGATCGAATTCGAATTGCCTGCCACGGCGATCACCTACGCTTACGCGCGCGCGGGCACCGTTGTCGTTGTCATCATCGAATGAAGGAGTCCAGGTGGTCGATATCGACCGCCTCGCCGCTACAGCAATTTCGCGCTGAGTGCTCTGGCGCTGCTCCGTCGCCTGCCGTCTAGACCTAATCCCCGCCTCCTGGAACAGATTCAAATCTGCCACCTCTGCCCTCTTGGGCTCGACCTTGGGCAATTGCGAGAATCGTTCATGCAGCGTAACGACGCGGGGGGCAGTCGCCGTCACCGTCGCAGATAGTGAAGACGGCGAAGGCTTCACCTCGACACGCCTCGCCGAGATCGTCCGCTCCACGTTCATCCTTTACGTCCTCTAATTCGATAATGCAGATGATCTGTTCGCCACGAAAAGGTGAAATATCCCTGAACGGAAATGCAGAGAGAAAGCCCCAAAGTTGAGAAAGAAAAAAGGAAGGAAAGTCGAAATCTGCGCCGGCAAATCGATTCCATTCAATCTCTCTAATTTCTCGGCTCGAAAGCGGTCTTCCTACAGGCGACGAAGAGAAGAAGATGAGGCTCGACGTGAATGTGCTTCGGTATATGACGAAGGAGGAGTTTCGCGTTCTGACGGCGATCGAATTGGGACAGAAGAATCACGAGCTCGTCCCTACGCCGCTCATCAATTCCATCGCGAAATTGAAGAGGGGAGGGACCTACAAGTACATCTCCATGCTGCACAAGAACAAGCTTATCGCGCACGAGGCCAAGAAGTACGATGGCTACAAGCTCACCTACACGGGGTATGACTACCTGGCCCTCAAGGCGCTGCGCGATCGCGGCGTCGTATCGGCAGTCGGCACCAAGGTCGGCGTGGGCAAGGAGTCGGACATCTACCTCACCACCAACGATGAGCAAGAAGACCTCATTCTCAAGCTGCACCGATTGGGCCGCATCTCCTTCCGGCAGATCAAGAACAAGCGCGATTACATGCAACACCGAAAGCACGCGTCCTGGCTCTACATGGCGCGCCTTTCTGCGCTCAAGGAATTCGCCTACATGAAGGTTCGTCGCCTGCCTCCTTCAACGACACCCTCTGTACTCACGCTTGATTCCCCTTCGCATTGTAGGTGCTCTACGACAATGGTTTCCCCGTGCCCAAGCCTGTTGACGCGAATCGCCACTGTGTGGTCATGCAGCTCATCAAGGGCTTTCCACTGTACGTCACTGCATACATCTGCACGTCGTGTGCCACGTTGCACAGAGTTGGTCTGAACTGAAGCGTATTCTTCGGCACCCGATACGTACGACAGCTGCCAAGTCAGCGAGATCCAGCATCCGGGTCGGGTCTACAACAAGCTGATGAAGCTCATCGTCAAGCTCGCCAGATATGGCCTCATCCACGGCGACTTCAACGAGTTCAACCTCATGATCACCCACGAGGAAGAGGTGGTGCTCATCGATTTCCCGCAGATGGTCTCCACCAGCCACCCGAACGCCGAAGAGTGCGTTCATCCACGCGACGATCTCTCGTCCAATGTCAACCATTGTGAGCTGTGCTGTCCAGTTGTGGCTTACTGCTCTGTGTGCGCCCTCGCAGGTACTTCGACCGCGATGTGCAGTGCGTGCGCACTTTCTTCGGCAAGCGTTTCGGGTACGAGGAGAGCGAGTACCCCGTGTTCGCCGAAGTGATGAAGGCCCTGGACGAGGAAGCGGCCGCGGCCGAAGCCGCTCGCGCGAAGGAGAACAGCTCGACCACCGCGGAGACGCAAACCGATGGAAGCGACGACACCACACAGAAGAAGGACGATGATGGCAACGCCACCAGTGATAAGAACGATGACGATGAACCGGAGCCAGAGGAGAACAACTTCAAGAAGAAGGTCAAAAAGGTCGCGCCTGCCCGAGCCCGACCCGACCTGCACGCCGCCGCCGCAGCCTGGTGCCGAAACCACGACGTCGACCCCGAGATCGACGTGCCCCGCGAGGGCGCCAGCAACAGCGACGACAGCGACGAGGACAGTGACGACAGCTCGAGCGATGACGAGTCCACGACCGACGCAACAAAGATCGACGAGGCGGCGGCGTCCAACGAGGCCGACGGAGAAGAAGCAGCAGACACTGTCGTCGATGGCGAAAAGAAGGAAGATGGAGGAGAAGGGGAGGGAGAGGGCAAGATTGAAGGCGAAGGCGAAGGGCAGACTGAAGAAGGTGAGGAGGGCGAGAGGACTGCCGAGGGCGATCTCCAGTTCCACATCAGGAAGAGGATCAACAAGAAGCTGGCCAAGCGAAGCAAGGGCAGCGGCGGCGACACCAGGAACTCCTACAAGAGCAAGGGCCGCCGGGTAGGCAACAAGGTCGACAAGGTGGGCAAGGCCTCGGGCTGGTACTGAGAGTGAGGTCTGTGGGGCATAGTCGACAACAAACAAATAATAGCCTATTTATTTTTGCATTTCCGGGAGGTTTTCCTTCAGGCCCACAGAGAAAAGCCGCGCCGAAAAGAGCAGGAGGTTCTGTAACGAGTATTGATTCGACAACCAACGTAGGAGGGAGTTCCATCTTGGATGAATTTTGTGCTGACCCGCCAATCTCGGGTTGCAGCGGCCTAAAGCAAAAAAAATGCGGGTGAGACGGTGGAGCAACTTCATCAAGTTCTTCGGCTTTGCCCTTGTGGTACGCGCCTCAACGTATCTTTTATACACGTATATGTACGCCATATCTTTTATTTAATCTCTATTTTCTATCTCTGCTCCCTATTGCTCTTTTGTACGTGCTCCCCAGGTGCTGGGCTTTGCAGAGCTGGTCTACGGCGTGGTCGGTGGTCTCGCATGGGCGGACTTCGTGGTGGGTGGGGTCACCGTGTGCGTGGGCCTGCTTGGCCTCTACGCCGGCTTCCGGCCATCCATCGGCGCCGCCAAGCGTGTACGCGCTTCTCTTCCACTTCTTTCGCGGTGGTGCTCGAAGCCGCACACACACACACACCACACACACACACACACACGACTCTCACTTGCGACCGCCGGTCGCGTCGTGCAGTACTTCTGGGCGCTGATCGTGGTGGCGGTGCTGATGGTCACGGTGCTGGTGGTGTACATCATCGTGCTGGACCGCGGCTACTGGGAGGAGCTGTGCGAGAAGGAGCAGCTTAAGTTCGGATCCAACACCGACTGCAATAGTAACACCACACGATACCTCTTCGTCGCTGCGGCCATCGTCCAGCTCGTCATTACCATGGGCTGCTGCGTACGCACGCACTTCCCACCAGCTCTCGGCGCCCGTTGTCAGCTTGTCTGCTCACCCATTTACGATTGCTGGAATCTGCAGATGAGTTGCCTGTGCTGTGCTCGCACCTACTACAAAACACTGGCCCAGGAACGTGGTACTCATCATACCCGTGTTGTGCGTGTCGTGTGTGTAGTGAGGTTTCTGTGTTTCACAAGTCTCTTTACATCCTTTGCATAGGGCACCTGCTGGGCCACGGTACGGCACAGGGCACGGAGCCCGGACCGCAGGGTCCCTACCACACGGCGCCTCTCTTCTCGAGCCGAGCGCCGACCAACGCGACACCCTACAACACCATCACCGTGCACTCGACAGATTACCCACCAATAGTTCGTCCCGACTGTTCGTGCGTCGATTGACCCGGCGCGGACTATCACATAATCTCTGACCACGCACGCACGCACGCACGCACGCACGCACACACACACACACACACACACTTCAGGACACGATCCCGCATCTCTTGCCACCGAGCGCCTACCCCACCGAGCACGCGCCATCGACGCACTACCCACCACCACCACCATCATGCCGCCCGTAGATTCGTTTCCTTCTTCACCTCCTTTTCATTCTCTCCTTCCCAGCCCGGCACGCTGCGCCGCCCAGTCTGTAAATCGAGCGATACCCTTGCTCCCTCCCGTCACGTCGCCACCCCCTCTGTTGGGGTGTCGCACTTCCAACGTTGCGGCGTGGCTGATGGCTCTTCTTTTCGCGTTCCAACATAAAATTTCAACACGTCGCATCGAGAATTATAGAAGAAGAACGACAATCGACGCAGACCCCACGCACTACAGGTACTCTTCGGCCTGCGAGGACGACACGCCCAAGATCTTCCCCCTTCGCGAAGTTCTCTGCACCCCCCCCCTCTGCCGCTACCCCTCGTGTACAAGGTACCCCAATTGTAACTCGACATGCACGTTCACGTCCATACCAGCTGTCACTCACCACTTCTCTCAGATACTGAAGCTCCCGGTGGATGAAGGCTCTGTCGAGCACTGGCAAACGCTTGTGCATGGCTTTAAACAGAACGTACTCCATCGCGCGCAACGCCTGGCCAAAGTTGACCAGGCGTGGCTGAGTCACTACGACCGAATGCTGGACGAGCCATTCAAATGGTGCGTAAGTAAGCAATTGTGGTCTGTCTTCCGGGTTCTTGACCGTTGCTTCTCCACCAGGATATTGCGCTCGAGCGTGACCGACAGCAGACACATCCGGCAACAGAACAGACCGGCGCCATGTGGTCCATTCTCAGAGCGAGGTCCTGTTTGCCCGTGATGGTCTTGCTCTTGAGTAGTGCGTACACCCTCCCCTGGTGGTCTTTGGCGGCCTTTGGCTGCTTCTTACATCTCCCTTGGCTTGGCCAGTAACTCGGAAGGAAGGCTCACCCGATGCCAGTACCAAAGTACACCATGGCCCGGAGGTCTCGATGGGCATCCACTGGCAAGCGCTGCCGCTGTTATCACAGTCCTATCACGCGTGTGCCACGCGTCGTCTGGTATTCGCATTCGCCGACGCCGAGAGCCATGAGTGCGTCCATTCCTCATTCATTGCCGTGCCGATGATTGTGCAGTTCTGATCGCTCTACTAACCAACAGTGGCAGAGCGAAGCTGCTCTGTGTGATGACCCACCGCATTCTGCATCTGGAGGCATCGCCGGATCTCGATGCCACGGCCGTTCCCTTTCCTCTGCTTGCGCCGAATGGCGCCCCATTGCGCGTGGCTGTGGGTAGCAAGGTACCTACAACCCGCCCGAGAATTCTGTGGTGTAGCAGTATTATTCAATTTATTCTCATTTCAATCACACTCAATCCAGGAGAAGCCACATGCAGCCGAAAACAAGGAAGACGGAGGAGACAACGAAGACAACGAAGACAACGAAGACAAGCAAATGCAAGCTCTCCCTCAAGCTCACGTCTAATTGAAACACACAGGCTCTTGCGCTCCTGCACGAGAAAGCCAGACTTGTTCATCGTGACATCAAGCCGGCCAACATTCAGGCTGACCTCCTCCCTTCTGGGGGGTACGTCTTCCTTGTACAATCACAACCACCCCACATGGCTAACTATGTCAAACCCATCAAAAACCGTAAAGTTGGTGGACTTCAAGAGTTCGCCGATATCTGCCTACTGAATAGAACGATTTAGCTGGGTACGACTTGATGACACCTCACACTATGCGCCATAACTTCGCGCACAATGATCTGACGTGGCACCATGTGGTGGCGGCGATGGTGCAGAGCACCACTCTTGTACATGGACATGACCGGCGCCGCGTTGGACCTGGCGCATCAGCTCACGCGCCACTCCGTTGTCCCGCATCACTGCAACCCGGCACTGGAGCACCTTTCCTCCTTTCCAACCGCGGGCCGCGAGACCTTGGCAGCGGCGCTGAGCCTGGCAGCCAACGACGGCCCAGCTGAACCACAGCTGTTCAGGCACTCTTGGTGCCTACACCAACCGTCTTTTTATTGTTGTACGTGCCCAGGGCTGGCGGAGAGTAGGTCAGAGGGCACTGTTGTCGCGCATCTGGTCGATCTGGTGCTGCAGATGGGCGTTGGCGCGCCTCTTGCGCCACCACAGCACTGCGACGCCCACCACGACGGCGCCCACCACCAGCACGAACGCCAGGGGGATGACCACCGACGTGGCCACTACCAAGGCGAGGTTGTCATCGTCTCCATTGCCGTCGCCAGAGGCATCAGACCGGCCCAGCAGCACGCCCAGGCCCAGCGACGGGTCGTAGTACAGCGACTGGTTGAACGGCGCGAACTCCAGCACCAGCTCGTACTCGTAGACCGCCTGCTCCCGCCGCGACAGTAATCCACTGGCGAGGCGCACGTCGTGGCCGACCAGCGGCACGAGGGTGCCGTCGGCCAGCGCGACGTCGAACACCTCCACCACTGCCACCAGCGGCGTGCCCGATGACGTGAGGGGCACGCAGTAGGTGGTCATGTTGGCCCGCGGCTCCCCGCGGCGCTTGACCACCGTCGCCGTCGCCGCGGCGGCCTCGGTGGCGGTCAGGTCGGCCAGCCTGTAGCTGACGCTGAACGGCTGCTGGCTCAGCGACGATGCGTTGCCGTTAGCGGTGGTGATGTTGATGGACCACTTGACGGTGTTGGGGCGGATGGTGAGGTCCAACGCGTCGAACGCAGTGTCGTCGACCGCCTGCGCGTAGAAGGCGAAGATCTGGGCAAAGGTGGTGGCGTTGTCGGCAAGCAGGCTAGCGTAGGTGTGGGTCTCCACCACAATCGATTCATCAGCCCCGCCCACTGTCGTGTTCACGACGCTCACACCGTACGCTGTGTGTGTCGTGTCGTTGGTCGTGTCGTGTCGTGTGC